GTTGTTTAGTATGTTTCCCCAAAAACACTAAAACTGAACTCAGGGAGTTCTAATATTTAAAGGAAGAATGACTAAAGAGTATTAATTAGCCAACAATAGAAATAATAGCTTCAGAAATGAAACCAATTCCAATGCAAACTATGAGAAATAATAGTACACTTGGAATTTTCCATGTGAGCCACTAATTTACACTACCTGGCACAACGCTCACACTCAAGAAATGTCTTTTGTTAGGTAACAAAAATTATGATTAACAAACCTAAACTATTGTTTTGGACAATGACCTACCTAGCTTTCCTGTGCGTTCCTCAGTTTTTAGCCCCACGTCTGTAAAACAGGTAACTTCTAACCTTATCTCAAGTTCATCTGACTATGTAAATATTCCAATGACATACTGGAATTCTATGAGCACTGCACTAGTGACATCTTTACTAATCCAAGAAAAAAATATACCTGAATTATTCCTGCCTGGCGAGTTACTGGGGAGATTGCTGTCTCAAGGTCATACGTTACTAAGGCTTTCTCCCACATTGCTTCATGTTCATATGTTCGTAGTCTGTAAGAAAAGGTTGTAAAAATATCTTGATTCTACATACATAGAACTCCTTCACAGACAGAATTACTATACCATTATAGAGAAAAATGTGATTTACCTAGTAAGGGGTTGCAACATTTTCCCTCCACCACAGCCATACAGACTATCTGGCTCTCCTATACTTCTGTAAATTTCTAATAGAAGATCCTTAAAACAGAAATACAACAAAAACAGGAAGGGAAGAATCACTTTATAAATTTAGAAAACCTTAAATTGCATCATTATCAACACATAACTCTCAATTATAAATGTTGCCCTATAAAAGAACAATAAAATGATATTCAAATATATACTATATCAAGTTATCTGAATTGAAACATTTGATACCCAAGCCTAGCACAATGCCTGGTATACAGAAGATACTCTAAAAATAGTCAGTGGAAAAGGATGAGACTACGAAAGATGAAGGAGAAGAAAGAGAAAAATTAGGAGAGTGAACTGAAAAAGTAAACAGAACATATTTCGTGTAAGGCATAACTGATAGTATGAAGTGTAAAGAGAATTGAAAGGTTACCACCAGACTTAGAGATAGCAAATATAGACAACTCTTTCACAAAGTTTGGTTATGAAGGGAAAGAAGAGAGTGAGTGATACCCAAAAAAGCACACCAGGAAGAGGGAAGTTATTTTGTACTTGTGAGAGAAATTTTTAAAAGTAGAGGTTTGAAAATGTTTAGAATATAGTTCAGAGGCAACACAGCATATTAAAAAAATAAAGTTTGAGAAAAAGCAGATAAATAAAAAGCACAGGAATTAAGATTAGCCTTAAATAAAGGGAGAAATTATTTCTCCAGTTTAATAAGACAGACGGTTATGACAAGGGGCATATGCAGGAAGATTTCAATATTTGAGGGTAGATGTGTCTGGGTTTCCTATCTATGCCAACTATTTTCTCCAATAAGTAAGAGGCTAGCTGAAAGCAAAGGCAGAGAAGTGAAGATCAAAATTTTAAGCAAGGTAGCGAAGTTCAAATTATTGTTGTAAACCAAAGAAAGTCGATGAGAACAACACACACCATGGTCAATTTGAAAGTAGATTTTTAAGAAATATATATAAAAAGTAATTTGTTGCTTTTGTGACAATGAAAAAATAAACAAACAATTATAAACTGCAAGTGATATAAAGAAACTGAACAGGGTGCTATGGCAGAAAATACACAGTAAAAACCCACTCTATAAGTTGGATGGTTTTGCTTCCATTCTTCAGATAAAGGAACTCAAGACTAGAAAGGTTAAGTAATCTGTGCAAGAATTTATAACTAAGTGGCACAGTCAGGATTAGAATTCAGGTCAGTCTACTTGAAGACCTGAACTTCAAACTATAAATGTATATAGATGATGCTCTGTTAAAAGAGTAACTTCAGTTTTCAAATCAAATGACATCACTATAAAAAGTAATAATCAAAATATAAGATTAAATATTGATATAAACATTAGAGCTGTTAATATTTACCTGTAAACTTATTCCAGTTTCTTCTTTGCTTTTTTCACTCAAACTAGAAATAGTTGTACTTTGGCTTCCTTCTTCAAATATAAGACTTCTGCTTATCAAAAGAAGCACTGCTTTTAATGAGAACATACTACTTGGAAGCTTATGAATACAGAAATTATAAACAACAGGGAAAAAAACTAATGAAGGTGGCAAATAAAACAATGAACTTTAAGAGAATATCATTTACACCAGAACTGAAAAGAAATTTGTGAATGTTAATTCCATGGAGGATAATTACATTTTAATAAAATCTTCTATATTTGGGGAGGTTATATGCCAAACCATGTTATTTATAAAGAAACAAACCTGTTTAAAAATAGAGATATCCCCAATTCAGTTCCTAAATTTCTGTTAGTGGTTTTACCTAAATTTTCAACTTAATTACAGACATACAATTTAAGACCACAATGAGCCACAATTTAACACTGATGAACTGACAAAAATTAAGAAATCTAAAACTCTACTTAAACCCTTATTACCAAAACATTAAGATAAATATATGAATATTAAGATGA